GAGAAGAAGACTAAACCATACATTCAAGTTGATATTGGAGGTGGGCAAACAAAGACATTTGCTCCTGAAGAAATTTCTGCCATGGTTCTCACCAAAATGAAGGAAACTGCGGAGGCTTATTTGGGAAAGAAGGTAAATATTTCTAGAACATTGTTAAGTAATTTTATTTTTCCTATTCTTGATTTATTATGTTGTATAGATGCTGTTATTGTTTTAATAATTAGAATCTGAATGACATCCGTGTATATCAGTTTTAATTACTTGCATGTTTTACTGTAGGCCAAACAAAATATTAGGGACTTTTCATGTATTACCACTTAATGCTTGAAAATCCATGGATATAAAATTATGTATATTATACTCATCTACAAACAGATTGTCTTGGAAACTAAAATGATGGTTTGAGTGCAATTCATGTAAGAGTTAAAACCGTGTGATAAAATACGCTTAATTACTTTTTGTTATCCTTTTAGGTTACCCATGCAGTTGTTACTGTACCAGCCTATTTCAATGATGCCCAACGCCAGGCAACCAAAGATGCTGGAACTATTGCTGGATTGAATGTCATGAGGATCATCAATGAGCCGTGAGTGTTAAATTCAAAAGTATGGTCATTCACCAAATAGGTGAAATGTAAACTTAACTAAGCCTTTTTTTCCTTTCTCCTTAACAGTACAGCAGCTGCTATTGCTTATGGCTTGGATAAGAGGGAAGGGGAGAAGAATATCCTGGTGTTTGACCTGGGTGGTGGAACTTTTGATGTGTCTCTTCTCACCATTGACAATGGTGTCTTCGAAGTCGTGGCTACTAATGGAGATACTCATCTGGGTGGAGAAGACTTTGACCAACGTGTCATGGAACACTTCATCAAACTCTACAAAAAGAAGACTGGCAAAGATGTTAGGAAAGACAACAGAGCTGTGCAGAAACTCCGGCGGGAGGTAGAAAAAGCCAAACGGGCCCTGTCCTCTCAACATCAAGCAAGAATTGAAATTGAGTCTTTCTATGAAGGAGAAGACTTCTCTGAGACTCTGACCCGGGCCAAATTTGAAGAGCTCAATATGGTATGTTCCTTGTTTTTTTTGCTTTGCTAATGAGATCTAGTTAGACTCTGTGTTTGAGATACTGCATTTAGATATGTAGACAATGTTTAGGTACAATAGGCATCATCACAGTAATTGTGTTTCCTATTCTAGGACCTGTTCCGTTCTACCATGAAGCCTGTTCAGAAGGTGCTGGAGGATTCTGACTTAAAGAAGTCTGATATTGATGAAATTGTTCTTGTTGGTGGCTCTACTCGAATCCCAAAGATTCAACAACTGGTTAAAGAGTTCTTCAATGGCAAGGAGCCATCCCGTGGCATCAACCCAGATGAGGCTGTAGCATATGGTGCTGCTGTCCAGGCTGGCGTACTCTCTGGTGATCAAGATACAGGTATGTCACTGTCACAGCATTTTCCACGGTACTTCCATAGCTTGATAGGAAGAGTATAATTATCTGTTGCTTTCGAGGGTAATAGAACATGAGCAACAAGGTCACATAGCTAGTAAAGGGTAAAGTGAGGACAAGACCTGGCTCAGTTTCAAGATCATTAGCAATTAGATTTAATTCAGTGCTTCTGAAATGATTTTGCATAGAACCTCACATTAAATGGCGAGATGGAGAAGATAAAGTTACACAGTTGAGGGGGAGACTGCTTGGTAGTGCTCCTGCGACTCTTGAATTAGAATTTAACCTTGGTTAACTTACCTTTGCAGGTGACCTGGTACTGCTTGATGTATGTCCCCTTACACTTGGTATTGAAACTGTGGGAGGTGTCATGACCAAACTGATTCCAAGGAACACTGTGGTGCCCACCAAGAAGTCTCAGATCTTTTCTACAGCTTCTGATAACCAACCAACTGTTACAATCAAGGTCTATGAAGGTAATACCTTACATTTATGAATGACATACTATGTTTTTGAGAAGCATGACTTCTTCATATGTTCTTTTGAAATGAGAAGGGCTAGAAATATCTCCTCTTTTCAGACCGGGTCCCTAATATGACTAGTGTTGAGTTTGGTAGAGTCAACCCCAAAATCTAGTTCTTATTTAGCTACTTGGCACTCTTTGCCTTTAAAAATAACTTCTGGCTCCTAGAAAAGAGTTCATAATGCTGCAGAGAAGAAATTCAATTAAAAGTTAGTAGTAACTTAACACAGTCCCACTTGCCACTCCTTATAGATCAATACTGACCCACTTCTAGCTTGATAAGCATAGCCTTGCCACTGTAGGCTCCAACAGACTGAAGTGTAAGAATCCAGATGCACTAATGTTTGTCAGTAACAACTAACAAGTTATTTTTTTGGTGTAACTTCTAGGTGAACGACCCCTGACAAAAGACAATCACCTTCTGGGAACTTTTGACCTGACTGGAATTCCTCCCGCTCCCCGTGGGGTCCCACAGATTGAAGTCACCTTTGAGATAGATGTGAATGGCATTCTTAGAGTGACAGCTGAAGACAAAGGTACAGGCAACAAAAATAAGATTACAATTACCAATGACCAAAATCGCCTGACACCTGAAGAAATTGAAAGGATGGTTAATGATGCTGAGAAGTTTGCCGAGGAAGACAAAAAGCTCAAGGAGCGCATTGATACCAGAAATGAATTAGAAAGCTATGCCTATTCTCTAAAGAATCAGATTGGAGATAAAGAAAAGCTGGGAGGTAAACTCTCCTCTGAAGATAAGGAGACCATGGAAAAAGCTGTAGAGGAAAAGATTGAATGGCTAGAAAGTCACCAAGATGCTGACATTGAAGATTTCAAAGCTAAAAAGAAGGAACTAGAAGAAATTGTTCAGCCAATTATCAGCAAACTCTATGGAAGTGCAGGCCCTCCCCCAACTGGTGATGAGGAACCAGCAGACAAAGATGAGTTGTAGACATTGCTAGTGCTGTAATATTGTAAATACTGGACTCAGGAACTTTCGTTAGGAGAAAATGGAGAGAACTTAAGTCTCGAATGTAATTGGAATCTTCACCTTGGAGTGGAGTTGAAGATGCTATAGCCCAAGTGGCTGTTTACTGCTTTTCATTAGCAGTTGCTCACATGTCTTGGGGTGGGGGGAAAGGAAGAATTGGCTATCTTAAAAAGTGGGTAAAAAAGCTGGGTTAGGGTGTGTGTTCACCTTGGAAATGTTCTATTTAACAATTGGGTCATGCGCATCTGGTGTAGGAACTTTTTCTACCATAAGTGACACCAATAAATGTTTGTTATTTACACTGGTCTAATTTTTGTGATAAGCTTCTAATTAAGTCCATTGCTTCAAGGTTGGAGTCTTCACTTGTGTGGAGGGGGTTGGGGGTTTTATTTAATACTTTCAGGGAACTTGCCTAACAGTTAATCTAGTTTAAGAAATGGGCGGGGGACATTTGGGTGACTTGGTTGAGCATCTGACTCTTGCTTTCTGCCCAGGTCATGATCTCCATGTTGTGGAGTCGGCTTGTCCATCTCCCTCTGCTTCTCACCCCACCCCTCTTCCCCCCTTTTCCTTCTCTCTCAAATCTTAAGAAAAAAAGTGGGGGGCACCTGGGTGGTGCAGTTGGCTAAGCAATTGACTTGGTTTGGGGTCAGGTTGTGACCTCAGGTCATGAGATTGAGCCCCCCATCGGCTCCATGCTGAGCATGGAGTCCGCTTGAGACTCTCCCTGTCCCTCTGCCCCTTCCCCCACACCCCCCCCACAATAAAAAAAAAAAAAGGGGGCTCCTGGGTGACTTAGCTGGGCCTCTGCCTTTGGCTCGGGTTGTAATCCAGAGGTCCTGGGATCAAGCCCCACATCAGGCTCCCTGTTCAGCAGAGTCTGCTTCTCCCTCTCCCTGTGCCCCCCTCCCCAGCCGCTTGTGCTGGCATACCCACTCCTTCTCTTTCTGTGTCAAATTAATCTTAAAAAAAGAGAAAGGGGCAGGAAAGGTAAACATTCTTACCTAGGCAAGGGCCATTTTACAGTGCCGAAGGGCGGAATTGTCTTGAACATACTTGAAATTTCTGATTTCCCCTTATCTTTAAAACTTTCTGGTGGCTTTTTATTACTAATGCTTTGCAGTGGCTGGAGTTCTAAGTAAGACTTGCTATGAGTGATGGATCACTGATGTTAACTTTATACACTTGGATTCAATTCACGATTTTAGGATATAAAGGTGTATTTTAAAATCTCTGCTATGTCAGAATCTCCATCTCTGACATTTATCATTAGTGGTCTGGAGGGGGGTCTAGGATGGTGACCCTGAAACTACTTTGAGTCCTACTACAATTGTGGATCAAAGGCAGTCATTTGTATCAAAAGAGGTTCAAGATTACTTGGATCGGCTCCCTGAGGAAAGGGATGATCTAAATGAATAATTCTGTGTGATCAATAAAGGGCAGGCTCTCTGCTGCTAATAAGAAATCCAACACTGCTTAAGGATAATAAATATTTTATAGGTGGGCAGCCAGCTGAAAGGTTAATTTGCTAACTGGCAGAACTGGAACCTGACGGCATGATTATTTTACTCTGAGGCCCAGATCCCTGCTGCAGCGCCCCAGAAGCATTTGGACAAGCCTGGAGTGCAATACCAAAGGTCTTCAGGCCAAGTTCAATACAAACCTTAAAAATGACCTGCAGTGCTGTGTGCTGTGGTGTTAACAGGTGGCTGGGAAAGACAAGGGCCAGTCTTCATCCCTGTCCCCAACAGCTCTCAGTACCAAATGCCAACAGGCTGCACCTCTTTCTGGAGAGCAGCTCTGAATTCTAGAAAGATACACTTGAACCTGTAAATGTCCACTCCCTGATTTATACAGCCTAATTCCGCAACATTTTGGGGGTCAATTTTTTTTTAAAGATTTTATGTAATCTCTACACCCAATGTGGGGCTTGAATTTACAACCCTGAGATCAAGCGTCACATGCTCTACTGACTAAGCCAGCCAGGTGCTCCTCTGTGATCAATATTCTGAAGCAATCACACTTACTTAGGCTGTATTGCTGGTAAAACCCTTTTAATAGAAGTTTTTGCACTTGGGCTATCCATTTTTTCACCTACCAAAGTAGGTAAGAGCAAGAGGGCTACATGTATAGTGCAAAAAATATTTTGGAGGTACAAAACAGCTAAGGTTTCATTTAACTTTCCTGAAAGTTTGTCATTTAATAAAAATGTAGAATTTATTAGTCAACTACAGTCACAATACAGTCATTATAGATTTCCCCTTCTGTATTCATCCCGCCAAACACAAAACAGAGCAATGTGTCTGTCTGACTTTCCTCATGTAAATCACCACCTTGGGTCACTCCTTTTTTGGTGGACTCCCCTTTCTCTGTATCACAGTTTAGAGTGACAGAATTTGAATCTTCTTTCTCAGAAGTACACATCACTGGCCATGGAATGACACACATGGAATGATCCAATCGTCCAGGGGGTAGAAAAGTATCAAATTTAAGCAAGGTCCAATGCTGCTTTTCTATGTTAGAGAAAAGACAAATATACAAAGACTCTGTGTTAAGACATTTCCAGAAATGCTCAGTGATTTGCTGTATCAGCCCTAACAGAAATAGGAAATAATAAAAAAAAAAAATCTGGGGCGCCTGGGTGGTGCAGCTGGTTAGGCATCTGACTCTTGGTTTTGGCTGAGGTCCTATTTTCAGGGTTGTGAGATCGAGCCCTGCATCTGGCTCCGCACTCAGTGTGGAGTCGGCTTGGGATTCTCCCCCTCCCTCTGCCCCTCCCGTTCTTGCTGTCTCTCTTTCTCTAAAATAAATAAATCTTAAAAACAAAAAACAAAAAACTAATGGCAGTGTTACTGCTTCCATGATGTCATTCATTCCCTAGAAGTTTGGTTTTCATTCCTTTGGATTTAGATGTGGAGGGAAAAGCCAAAGCACTGTAATACTTTTCAAAGAATGGTCACATCTGTTGAAAGACCCACAGTGAACACCTGCTCACCTATGTGATACTGGTACATTGTATCCAGGGCTCCTGTGGGAGTCATCCCTCCAAAGACATACAGGTGTTTCCCCACAGCCACAGCTGAGTGGGCAGCACAGCCTGTGGGAGATGCCCCAGTGGGACTTAGCTTCTGCCACTTCATGTCACCTGCCAAGAGAAAGAGAGCGGGTACAATGTGACCTAGAATATGGACTCCACCTTACCTGTCAGATTCCTGCAGTGCGCAAACCAATCACTGAAGGTCATTCGCTAAGCATTCTGGGAGGTAATACAGCAAGGTTTAAGGGGCACAGAAATTACTTGGGGGAGCTTCAAATTCTGTTTGGGTGTCCAGGGAGGGAGGAGGACCTCAGTAGTCTATAGTTTTAGCAAGCGTCTCAGGTGATTCTGATATAAGTGGTCTTTGGAGCACACTGAATAATAGGATATTATCTTTGGTGACTGTCACCATTTACTAATTTGGAGCCCGGAAGGAGTTGAGTTCCATGTCTGTGTGTGCACGTTTTAAATACTAGCAGTTCCTTAGAAAGCAACTTTATGAGTGCTGGCTAGGCACTTTAAAAATTTTGCTTGCTCACAACAGTCCTCTGAAACTGCTATTACTTCTGCCTACTCTCTTTTTACTGGTGAAGAAACAGAATCAAAGAGGGAGACACTTGTCCAAGATCAAACAGCCAGCAAGAGGCACAGCTAGCCTGATACTCGGGTCTGATGCTAGAACCTGTGTTCTCCACACTGTAAGGTGTTGCCTCAAGCACCTGCTCCCAACCTATTTCTGCAAGGATATTTGCATCTTTTCAAACAAGCATTGAAATGAGGCATGATATTATTGGATTTTAGGTTTAGAGAATTACCAGGGTAGGAAAGGAAGAGAAAGAGCCAGAAAGTAGTTCCTCAGCTGAGGGAGTAGGACTTTCTTTTTTAAAATACGCATTAAGGAGTGCCTGGGTGGCTCAGTAGTTAAGCGTCTGCCTTCGGCTCAGGTCATGATC